GTGTCCATACCAAGGAAAAGAACTGGGTTTCCTATATCTTTGCAATAACCTTAGAACCTGAGAAAGAGTAGGCTAGCTTTCAACAGCCCTGGTGTGGCTTTGAAGGATAAACACCAGATTGCTAACCGCAAGGCCAGTGGTCCAAACCCATGGGTCTCTCCTCAAAAACCTTATACATGATCTCTGTGAGTTGGGACCGACTCAATGACACTAAAGAAACCCGGTAAGGTGATGGTGATGCTAAATGTCACTGAGTGGATTCTGACTCCCACTGACGTAGAAGTGCCTCACAGGGTGTTTCTGAGCCATGTCTTTCTCCTACAGAGTTGCTGGATGGATTCAAACTGACAACATTCAATTTCCAACTGTTAAGTGCTTAACCATTGTGCCACTAGGTTCCTTGGCCCTAAGGTGGCCCATAGTCCCCATCAGTAAACTCTATTGAGGATTTACACAGCATTCTAACCCAGTGATAAATCCCAGCTGCACTGCATTAAATAGTATCTGTGCCTGGAAGCATTTGTAAATCCTTAAAATATTTCTCTCCTGCAAGATCAAATCTAACATCTTAAGAGAAAAATATCAAATTTCTAAATTGTTTTGCTAGTAGAATAAAGTTTTCTCAGGTAACAAAACATACAAAAACAGAAAAGATACCTTCAAGCAGGTTTTTCTCTGAAGAAAGTTTAGAAGCTGCAGCAGGAGCTTGATACAAAAAGTCACAGAGAAAGATGGACTGGGAGAATTCTTGGCTTATTCCACCCTCAGAAGGAATATCATGTTGTGGAAAATCTGGAAAAATTACAGAAACAATTATGAAAAGAAAAATGCAAATTTTCCTTTCACAGACAAATACACAGGTAAGTTCTGAGCTAGAAGACAAACTACATTAATTGTACCACAAAATAGCATATGGAGACATATTTATGCTTTGCATAAAAGCATTTAAAAGTAATGATAATATGGGAGCGTTGGTGGCAATGTAGGCTAAATACTGGACTTCTAACAACCAGTTTGGTAGTTCAAACCCAGCATTCACTCATCAGGAGAAAGATTTGCAGCCTCAGAAACCGAATAATAACAATTATTAATATAAAAATTAGAGTATTTTTTAATATAAAAATTTGAGTTCTTTTTGGTGGAAAAGACTATGGTGAATTAACTTTTTTTTTTCCATCTTCTATTTATAAGAGTGCAGAAACAGACAAGATTTAATTGCTAAACTTTCTTGAAATTAAATAAACAATAATTGCTCTCAAGTATCTTCTTTTTGGTGACTGTGGTTTTCTTCCAGCCTGCCATTTTCTCTTTCTTATTTGAGAAATGCACAGATTTGAGGTTTCATCCTTTTAGGAACATACAATATGAAATCCAAAGATCAGGAATATCAACTAACCTGAGAATTTGTTGTGGTAGAGAAATTCCATTTGCAGACTCTGCCCAGCCTTCTTGGCCAGCAGATAGGGGGTGCTATGCCTGGGGTCTCCAGTTGCACACATAACATCTGCTCCACTGAACAGCAAAGCCATTGTTTCCAGAACATCTGGTGTCACTACAGCAGCACATAGAGCCTGGCAGTTAAAAAATATATACAACTTTTAAAGGAAGAAATTATGATCCGAGCTATTAAAATGAAAGTCTGCCATCTCATTTATGAGATGATGTTTGTATTCCTTTCTTTCCCAAGAAGGCTAATAATAATGATACTTTGAATTCAGCAATTTAGTGGGCACAAAAGGCTCATTTACTGTGGGTTTAAATAATAGCCTCCTCTAAGTCTCAGTTCACGGTTGTGTAGTGTGATGTTGCAAATCTACCACACCATCATATATGCTTTAGAAGATAATTTTATGCATATATACTATTTCAAAAGCTGATGTTTACAAAAAGACAAAAAACACACATTTCAAATGTAATACTGAAGCAGCCAGCAATGGTTTGTCTTATGAATACTAATATATATATAAGTGTATATGTATGTATTTGTGTATATTTCCTATCAAATTATGATTTGAAGAATCTTAAGTTATGGGTGTGTCTTAAGAATGTAAAAAATGAAAACAAAGAAAATTGAGTATCCCTTTTTATGAGGGGGTATCAGGGCAGCAGTGGGTAGGAGGAAAAGCCAGCAAGAAAAATAATAAACCATTAACTTCTGGTATATATCATCTTTGAACAAACAGTAGGTGCTGTTGAAATGAACTTTTTGCTTGTTTGTTTTGGCCTCGAAGTAAACTTCTTTATACACTTTTTCATTCTCTTTCTTCCCACTTGACATGTGTCCCCAGACCTCACATTATCAGATTCACATTTGTTTCCAAACTCTCTAATTTGGGCATGTTGATTCCATCTGACTCTTTAATCTTGAACTCAACTCTTTTTATCTCCATCCTGCCATGATACACCTGGAGAGATCACTGGTCAATTTTCCCTCTGTGATACAACCTCAGGACAATCTCTTCTTATCTGTCCCACTGACTTTTGAGAGTGAACAGTTTCAGGTTCCAGGACATATACCTTCACATTTCCAACCCTGCAAACTCAACTGGTAAACAACTAATCTTTTTGTACAGTAGCTAAACTGATCTCTAGAATTCCATTTAAGTCCAAATCAAGAAAATGCACTAATCCACTAGGTGACCTCATGCAAAATTCTTCTTACCTGCAAATGAGTATGTTGGTAAAAATAACAGCTAAGTCTCTTCTACCCCAGTAGCTTCTGATTACCAATTTAACCACATGCATTTTTGTTTATCCTATCTCTTGTTACCATACTTTTTTCCTTCAAAGAACATTGTATATATATATATATATATTTGGTGGACATAGCTGTTAAGGCGCTTTCGTGGAACAGTAGCACACTTGGTTGCTAATTGAAAGGTTGACAATTTGAATCCTTCAGCCACTCCAAAGAAATATAGGCAGTTTGCATAAAGATGCCAGTCCTGAAAAACTTATGCGGCAGATCTACTCTATTCTCTAGGTCACACGGATCAGAAGCAACCTGATGGCAATGGGTAGTTATTAAGATCATCCTTACTTGCCTGTCTTCCCCATGAAAAAGAGCCACATCTATATTTTTCCACAATTTTATCCCCTGCATCTAGAGCAGGGCTCAAAGAGGAATAGGTGTATAATAACAAATTTTCTTAAGATCACAAATTTTTGTTAAAAATTATTCACCAACACTGAGTGCTTATTTTAAGAAGCCTAATTTAGAGGTTAAGCTCCAATTAATATGGTGGTGGTTGTATGCCAATTAGTCAGTTCCGAGGCTGTAAATCTTTATGAGAGCAGAAAGCCTCATCTTTCTCTTTCAGAGTGACTGGTAGATTCAAGTTACTGACCTTGCAGGTAGCAGACCAGCTTGTAATCCTCTACATTATTAGGGCTCTTTCCAATGAATATACTTCCCTAAAATATTCTTAGAAGGAGTCCTGGTATGGTGCTTCATGACAGTGCACTGGACTTCCTGGTCAATTTGAATTGCAAGGTCATCAGTTCAAACCCACCAGTTTATCCTCAGAAACTCTATACAGGATCACTATGAGGTGAAACTGACTCCATGATACTTAACAACAACAACAATTTAGAACTTAATTAATAGGTTAACTCATGTAAACAAAGGATTACAGCTAAAAGGACCTCACTTGGGAACATCCATATTTACTCACTGACTAACTCCCATTATCATCAAAGAGAGAGAAACAACTAGGAAATGACCAACTATACCCTGATTCTCCAACCTCACTGATTACCTCTACAGATCCATAACTTACTATTCATATACATACTATTTATTTGACTTTATAATAAATCCTTGGTTATGATACCAACTCATCATTATTCCATACATATGTGGAATACATGTCAGTTAGTTTAATAATGTAATCAGCACTCAAGAAAATACCACCCAAAACAAAATAAAGTGCCTAATTTAAACTTATATTTAACCACAAAATGTCCCAGGCTCAACACTCTAGTTCTCACCACCTTAGTGAACCATCCTGAAGCCTGCATTCATTATTCACTACATATACTTCGAAATCACTTAGCGACTTCTCTTCACTGATACCCAAGATACGGTGGTTGTGGTGGTTACGTGCTAGGGCATCGGAACTGACTCATAGAGACCCTGTAGAGGGTTTCCGAGGCTGTAAATCTTTACAGGAGCAGAGAGCCTCATCTTTCTCGTGCAGAACAGCTGCCAGTTTCAAACTGCTGACCTTAAGGTTCACAGCCCGATTCGTAACCACTACACTACCAGAGCTCCTTACCCAAGATATGCACAGATGAAAAAAAACAAAGCTTATTAAAGGAAACTATGCCACCAACAGAACAGAAAAAAACTTACTGTGGGGGAAGTAGACCAGTAAAATATAAATGTAAATCAATTTGATATACTTTGACATTTCTAGAGCTGCATGAAAAATGGTCCTTTTTCAACATGTTCAGCATAATGCTACTACCTAGGGGGATATCTTTCTAATAAGTATTACCATTAAAAATATATTAAAGAGAACCATGTAAAATGTAAAAATATATCTTATAATCATGAAAATATACATACATGCAGTATGTGTTTTAGATTTATCTAAACCTGGAGTCCTGGTGTGGCGCTCTGGGCTAATGTGTCAGACTGCAAAGTTTGAACTGCAAGGTCAGTGGTTCAAGTTCACCAGCTGTTCCTTGGAAACCCTGTACAGGGTCGCTATGAGTTGGAATCAACTCGATGGCATTTAACAACAACAAACATAGAAGAGTCTGCTACACAACAAGTTGAAAAGGCTATTTAGTAAAACAAAGTGTGTGTGTGTGTGTGTGTGTGTGTGTGTGTGTAGGATAACACAAACTTTTATCAAAGGGTGAGGACTAAATGGGTAGCGTAAAATAGTCACAGGATGTGGAATGACTTGGATAAAAGGAAAATAATTCAGATCAACACCACTAAAGCATGTTGTTGTTGGTGCTAAGCTATGACTCATAACAACCCTGTATAGGGTTTCCAAGGAGCAGCGGTGGATTCGAACCTCCAACCTTGTGGTTAGTACTCCAGTACTTATCCTACAGCGCCACACTGTTTTCCAACTAAAGCATTATAGTTGTTGTTGTTGAGTGCCAACAAGTCAACCCCAACTCACAGTAGACCTATACAGTGTTTCTGAGGAGCAGCTGGTGAATTTGAACCACTAACTTGAGACTTATAGTGGGGCATTATGGATTGGAACTGACTCGATGGAACTGAACAACAACATGTTTGATATCCTGTCCTTAAAATAGGCAAAGTTGTTAGCATCTTAAGAGTAAAGGGATAGGCCTGAGTTAACTGGAAATGACAGTTAGGGAGGAAGAGTTAAACTTACATTTTACTGCAAGATTAAGGAAAATGAGAAAATCACCAATGCAATCTCAAAATCAGAAATAAAAGTATAACATTATCAAATAATAAAAGGTCTCACTTTTACCAAGAACAGATTAAAAAAAAAAAATTAAAATCCAGGTTTGTTGATGCATTGTATTGAATACCTTATTTAATTCTTCTTTGGTGAGAGATGCCAAAAGGGTTTTTCTGAATTTTCCTTCTTTATACTTCTGAGTGATAAAGTTTTTTCTCTTTTCTACTGGTGAGTCCATGTGTAATTCTTCATCCTTGTGAAGACTGTCAGCCCAAAAGTCATTTGCTCTTTTGTTTCCAATGACAATAAACAACTGAAGTACCAAAAAATCATACAATTGATCAATTCATAACATGTATTGAACTTAGCAGAAAACAGACTCACATTACAAATTAATAACTGACAATATAAAATGCAGGTAAAGCTCACAAAAAGCTGTTCATTCAGGAAGATAGAATATGAAATCAGATACAATTTCTATTTTCAACACAGACTTGCTGCTGGTAATAATGATGGCAGAAGAGTTAATTTGGAAAGGACATAAAAGTAATGCAAACCGGAGGGAAAGCAGCTATACGTTATGAAGCTCACATTGAGACAGATTTGTATAAAAAGTCTGAGAAGGCGGGATAATGCTTCCTAGTATGGCCAGGAACACTAGCAGAAAATGGAGACAGACGTCAGACACACTCACAGAAAAAGCCAGTGTGGCCAAGAAAGAAAATAATGTCGTCACTAAATCCTTTTATATGTCATCCATGCTGTGATAAATAGAGAGAAAGCAAAAAAATGCTAAATGTATGAAAAAAATGATTTCTAAAACCTGTCAAAGCCCATAAAAGTAGTCATTACTATTAAAGCTCTTTGGAGCTTTTTTTTTATTTTTAAAGTAATCGTCTCAGTTAGGAAGCATTCTGAAAGTGACTACTAACCTAAAGAAATCCATGCTGCCCCACTGCAAGGTTTTTGCACAATTTTTTCTCATCATCACAATCAAAGCAGACTTACCTCAATGAGTTCATTGCTCCAAATGCTGGCATCCATTTTTAGACTTCTAACCTTGGAATCTTTTGGTCCTAAAGATCTATGTTCTCCTGGAGTCAGAAAATAATTACATTTCTATTTTACTGTGTATGTAAATTTATTTTACTTTTTAAAATAATATTTGAGAATGTATGTATACATGGATGTTTATGTCTAGATATTGTTTTAATGTAAACCACAATACTGGGTAAAGTGGTGGTAGTTCTTTAAAAACAAAAACAAAAAAGTGTAACAAGTAAAAATGACAATAACATCACACAATACCCCCCTGTGATCTACTGGCAGAAACTATACTTTTAAAATTATTTTTTTCTCATTTGGTAATCATTTAGAAATTTTAAGTCACTAAAAAACATTGTATAATGATTCTGCTTAATTTACATGTTTATGAATATGGATATTATTCCTTTACAAATAAAAAAAATACCTACAACTGTAATAAATGCTGACTGAAAAATTAATTTGATTTTTTTCCCCACTAACCTATCTAGAAGAGAAAAGTAATAATCCAGGGTTCTATTATCATCAATTTTATTCTACGAAGGGCATCGTGCATGGTAAACTGGAGGAACAGTGGAAATGAGGGAGATTCTAACCAGATAGTTTGGCTCAGGAGCATGAACAATAGGCTCAAGCATAGGAACAATTGGGAGGATGGCACAGGACCAGGCTGTGTTTTCTTCTATTGTACATAAAGGTCGTTATGGGTCAGAACCGACTCGACGGCACCTAACAACAATACACAGGATCACGTTAAGTCGGAACCAACATGACAGCCATTTAACAACATATTCTTCAGTGATTACTGACACACAGGCAGAAGTAAGATGCTTTCTAACATATATATATATAACATCGTCATCATGAACCTTTTGTTTTATCATCATAAAAGCACATCGTTCCATCTACGTTAGGTAAGATTCCTTTCTTTCCCTCTTTTTAATGCACACAGTTCAGGTAGTCCTGGTGTGGCAATGTAGGATAAGCACTGAACTGCTAACTACAAAGCTAGTGGCTCAAATCCACCAGCCACTGCTAGGAAACCCATTACAGGGTTGCTACGAGTCAGAACCGAGGCCAACAATAACTCTGGGTTCCTGGTGTGGCACTGTAGGATAAGCAATGGACTGCTAACCACAGGGCCGCCAGTTCAAACCCAACAGTTGCTGCTTGGAAACCCTACATAGAGTTGCTGTGGGTCAGAAACAAATCAACAGTATTTAACAACAACAATTCATAACGCAAAGCCTTGGAATTCTCAGGGCAGGTATTTGGATAAATTCACATTTTAAAAGAATTATCTTAGCAGCAAAAAAGCCAAACTTGGAAGAGAGACAAGTGGTAGATTCTAGGCAAGAAAAACGAGTCTCCCAGTTAAAAAACAGAATAAAAATTTGAGATACTGAAAAGTAAAATTGATGTGATGGAGCAGGCTTTAAGGAAAGGGTAAGGGTCAGGAGCTTTCATGGGGCATAGGAATGAGTATAGGGTAGATGAGGAGCCCTAGTAGTAAAAAAGTGAAGTACCAGGCTTCTAACCAAAATGCTAGTGTTTTCAACCCACTAAGATGTTCTGTTAGAGAAGAACCTAGTAATCTGCTCCCATAAAGATTATACAGCTAGAAAACTATGAGTTCTTCTCTGTCACACGTGGTTACTGTGAGTTAAAATCAACTTGGCTACACCTAAAAGCAACATTATAGGGAACATACTATGCTCTGGCCAAGGCAGGGAATCAGGAACACAGGAAAATGAAAAATTTTATGTAAAGGACTGGGCAGTTAGAAGAGTTTCTGGCAGGCAGTTTTTAATGCATTTTTGTCAAATTTAGTAGAGATCATTTGTTGTTGTTAAGCGTCATCATGTTCAAACTGACCTTTCAGACCAGTGCTTATTCTACAACACCAAGAGTTTGGTATTCAATAGAGAAAGAAACACACACTTAAAAATTAGTGTTGAATTCAAGTGATTTGGTAACATAGTAGTTCGAATTGGGCTGCTAACCTCAAGGTCAGCAGTTCGAAACTACCAGCTGTTCCGTGGGAGAAAGATGAGGCTTTCTGCTACCGTAAAGATTTACAGCCTCGGAAACCCTGTGCAGGGTCGCTATGAGTCAGAACCGACTCCATGGTATTTAACAACAACAACTTATCACTCAGGAATAACACATTGAAAAATAGCTGAGGATATAACACAAGAGATCATATATATTCTAGAAATAGGCCAGCAAAAATAACAAGATCAAAAGGATGTGAAAGAGACTCATATGCTTTTGGTTTAGTTAAGAATGTCAGATGTTGCTGAGAAATCAATAAAGCTAAAATTGACCACACAATTATGTGGTAAAGGACACTTGCAGTTGCGGCCAAAATATTTTGACTGCAATAGAAAACAAAGAAAGGTATTTACAGGAAGCTAAAGACAAACTAGAATGCTAAAGAAATGAAGACACCTCGAGCAGACTATCATGCTTACAAGTACTTGTCTAAAAAAAAGGGCGGGCTGGTGATGATGTATAAAAAGCAATGCCAAGTTTTGTATGAGATTCTGAGCACTTGGTTTGCAGAAGGCTGTAGTTTACAATGTCATTTACTGTTGTGGATGCCATCCAGTCAGTTCTGAATCACAACAACCCAATGCAAAACAGAACAAAAACCAGTATGGTCTTATGTTGTTGTTGTTGTTATTAAGTATCGTGGAGTCAGTTCTGACTCATAGTGACCCTACACAGGGTTTCCGAGGCTGTAAATCTTTACGGGAGCAGAAAGCCTCATCTTTCTCCAGTGGAACAGCTGGTAGTTTCAAACTGCTGACCTTGAGGTTCACAGCCCAATTTCTATACCAACCTCAAAATTGCTATGTTTTAGCCCATTGTTGCTGCCACTGCGTCAATCCATCTACTCCGGTTTCTTCTTCTTTTCTGCAGACCCTCCACTTTACCATAAATGATGTCCTTCTTCAGGGAATGGTTTATCCTAACAACATGTCTAAAGTATGTTGGCATCCTTGCTTCTAAGAAGCATTCTGGCTGTACTCTTTCAACATAGATTTCTTTCCTCTTCTGGCAGCCTGTGGCACTTTTAATATTCTCCAATACCATATTCAAATGCATTGATTCTTCTATTTTCTTCCTTACACATTGTCCAACTTACACATATAAATAAGGCTTGGGTCAGTTGCCCCTTATTCCTTAAACAGACAGATATCTTTGTTTGTAAACACTTTAAAGATCTCTTGTACAGCAGATAAGCCTAGTGCAGTATGCCATTTGACACCTTGACTGCTGCTTCTATGAACTGTGGAAACAAGAAAAATGAAATCTTTGACAACTTCCAGTCCAGTTGTGAGGATGTTCTTATTCTTTACATTACGGTGAAATTCATATTGAAGACTGTATAGTCTTTGATCTTCATCAGTATTTTAAATGTTCTTCACTTCTAACAAGCAAGGTTGCATCATGTGCATATTGCCAGTTGCTAATGAATCCTCTCTCAATCCTGATGCCACGCTCTTCTTCATGTAATCCAGTTTCTCAGCATACAGACAGAATAAGCACAGTGAAAGGACACATCCCTGGAGTACACCTTCCATGATTTTAAACCTTTTAGTGTCCCCTTGTTCTAACAGCTGCCTCTTGGTCTATGTACAGGTTCCTCATGAGCACAATTGTTATGGAAGACTCATTCTTCACAATGTTACCCATAGTTTGTCATGAGCCACACAGATGGAAGTCTTTGCATAGTCAATTAAGCACAAGTAAACAGCTTTCAGATAGTCTCTGCTTTCAGCCAAGATCCATCTGACGTCAGCAGTGATATTCTTCATTCTATAACCTCTTGTGAATCCAGCTTGAATTTTTGATAGTTCCCTGCTGACGTCTGTTGCAACTTTTTAAATTTTCATTAGCAAAATTTTACTTCCATATGTAACTAATGATATTTTCCATGATTTCTGCATTCTGGTGGGTCACCTCTCTTTTGAATGGGTACACATATGGATATTTTCCAATCAGTTCATCTATATGACTGAGTATCCACACTACCACATAAGTTTGTTGAAAGATTTCTATTTGTATTCCATCAATTCCTGGAGCCTTATTCTTTGTCAGTACATTCAGTGCATCTTGGACTTCTTCCTTCAGTACCCTTGGCTCTTGTGAAAATGCTACCTGATGAAATGGTTCAATATCATTTTTGATACAATGTATGTTCCTTCCATCTTCTTTTTATGCTTTCTGCATCATTCAATATTTTGTACATAGTATCCTCCAATATTTCAAGCTGAGGCATTGATTTTTTCTTCAGTTCTTTCAACTTCGAAATGCCACACATATTCTTCCCTATTGGTTTTCTAACTCCAGGTCTTTGCACAATACATTATAATACTTAACTTTTTCTTTTAAGTTGGCCTTTGAAATTTTCTGTTCAGCTCACTGACTGCCTCATTTCTTAAATTTCCTTTAGCTTTACTATGCTCAAGAGCATGTTTCAGAATCTCTTCTGACATCCATTTTGGACTTTTCTTTCTTTCCTATCTTCTTACATACCTGTTGATTCCTTAGTGTCTGATGATCTTGATGCCATCCCACATCTTCTGGTTTTCAGTCATTATTGTTTTATGAGACAAATTTGTTCATGAAATGCTCTCTAAATTCAAATGGTTATGTTCAAAGTCATTATTTTGCTGTTGTGGACTTGTTTTAATTTTCTTTAGCTTCTTCCTAGAATTATATGTGAGCAATTGATGATCTGTTCCACAATTGACCCTGGTCTTTTTTTTTTTTTGGCTTACAATATTGAGATTTTCTACCATCTCTTCCAACAGATATAGTAAATTTTATTCCTGTGTATTACATCTGGCATGACCCATGTTTATAATCACCATGTATGCTGTTTAAAAATGGTATTTACAATGAATATGTCATGGGTCTTACAAAATTTTATCATGCAATCTGTAGCATCATTACTATAACCAAAGTCATATTTTTCCAAATATTAATTCTTCCTTTTTATTTCCAATCTCCACATTGGAATCACCAGTAATTATCAGTACATCTGGTCTGCAAGTTTGATAAATTTCAGATAGAATTTGGTAAGAATTATTTAAATTCATCATCACAGGCTTTAATGGTCAGTGTATAAATATGAATAATAGTTGTATTAACTGGTCTTCCTTGTAGGCATATGAATATTATGCTATCTAAGAGCACTATACTTCAAGACACATCTTGAAAAATTTTTTGTTGTTTTTTTATGATGAATGCTTCACCATTCCTCTTGAAGTTGTTCCTGGCATAATAAACCATCTTCTTAAAATTGTCCGGTTCAAAATGGCCAATACCAGTCCATTTCACCTCACTAATGCTGAGGATATCTATCTTTGTGTGTTCAATTTCATTATGACAATTTTAAATTTTCCTAGATTCATACTTTTTACAATCCATGCTTCAATTATTCATGGTTGGTTGCAGCAGTTTCTCCTCATTCTGAGTTGTACCCCACCAACAAATGTAGGTCCCCAAAGTTTCCTTCCATTCACATCATGATCAAGTCTACTTTGAGGAGGCAGTTCTCCGGAGTTGTATTTGAGTACCTTCCAACTTGAGGGGCTCATCTCCTAATACTATATTTGACAATGTAATGCTGTTGTTATTCATAAGGTTAAGGTTAAACACTCAGAAGTTGATCACTGTTCTTTTTTCCCAGTCTGTCTTAGTCTAGAAGCTCTGCTAAACCCATCCACCATGGGTGATCCTGTGGTATTTAAAACTCCAGCAGCAGAGTTTCCAGCATCATAGCAACACTCAAACCACCACAACAGGACGTACTGACAGATGAGTGGTAGGTGGTTCACAGTGTTAACCATAAATCTATTTTGAGATTTAACATAAATTCAACTTCCATTTAATTTGTTCTGACTACTGACCAGGATGTAAAAACTTTGTCCTGAGGCAGAGTATGCTTGAAAGTGGATTTCTGAAACTACCCTCGCTAGCCTAAAGTGGGGTCAACTTACCCGCTGAGACTTGTCTGCGTGTGTCCTTAATGGAAACTAGGGTACCAGAGTCTTAGGATCATGAGTCATAATCAACTAAAGTGAACAAAGGGCCCCAGACCCAATCCTATAAACTTTTCTAATCTGCAATAGTGTACTTATCCCAATAATGGTCTCTTTCCTGCTTCCACTGTCCTGCTTGAGACTCTGAAGAATTGACCTGCAGCCAATCATGATTTTGCTTTTTGTTTTTTTCCATCTTCTATAAATATCTACATGGTTGTGAATCTTTTGGACACCATTATTGTCTCATGCTGCTGGTCTCCCTCAACTAGATGATTTGTCTTTGTCATGTTTAAGACTTAAAGATGTTTGCTATAAAGCACATTTGAATTTGGGGTCTTTTTTCCACTAAATGCTTTTAGAAAACTTGCTGTGTTAGGTTTACATGAAAGACTGATGCAAGTACACAGGCTGAAACTAAAACAATAATGGTTGAATACCTACAGAAAAGGATGAATAAGTGATGGGCAAAGATACTAAGGGTTCCTAGTGTGGTACTGTAGGATAAGCACTGGACTGCAAACTGCAAGGCTGGTGTTCTGTACAGGGTTGTTATGAATTGCAGCAAAGCCCTTTGCACTTAACAACAACAACAAAAGATACTAACGAGAAAAGAAAGAAAGGAGTGTAGTAAAATGAACAGCCTTGGACAACATACATATATCTTTTCCAAAGAGTATGGAGAAGAATAAAACGATGTGAAAAATACAGACAACTTGCTAAACACACAGGAATCGATGACTATCTGAGCAGTTTTTGCTGATGCTGATGCTAATTTGGTGATAAAAAATCTACTTAGTCTGGTAAGAAATATGGTAGAAAAGTAGTCATGGTTTGAAACAACTGTTGTGGACCCATTATCCATTGCCTTTGCTCTTCAGTATTGACTCATCTCTGCTCTTACACTTATACTCTGTTCTTAAGTGTTGTGTTGTTAAGTGTTGTTTTGTTCCAACTTAGAGGGACCCTTTCTGAAGAGTGGCTTTTTGATTTGAACTGCCGACCTTGTGGTTAGCAGTCCAGTATTTACCCTACAGCGCCACACCAGGATTCTTTATTGTAAGAACTAGCTATTTATTTATGGAGGAAGGCCATGTATTATTCAACTTTCTAAATTTATTCAGGACCAATATAATATATATATTTAATGTGAACTCTATTTCCGGAGGGGAGGCCTTGAAATTTAATGTTTAGCTTGTAGCTGACTTCCTCTAAGACCTCTATGATTAAGTACTCTAGCTGGGGTCTTTTTCCATTCTTCACTCTTCTTGACAACTGTGTGAGTGGCCAAATACACTGAGATGTCACATTGCCAAGTATAAAGAATAACGTCAAAATAAGAAAATCAGTCAGAGTACTGGCTAGTTTCATAAACTCCAATGCTCATATGAAATGCTTCCACATAAAAATGTGCGTTAAAAGAGATACTATATCTGGCATACAAAATATTTTTAGAGGTAAAAATAAAATGATGTGAAAAACAAGTCATAAAACAAATTCATGAGGAAAAATGAGATAAATCATTATGCAAAGATAACAGAATAAAACACTAAAAAAAAAAACAACAACAAAAAAAAAACAGCATTATCTTCTTTAAAATCCATGCATACATCAGTAAGCATAAAATATGATTAAATGTTTAAAACTCCATTTTTATATCTAAGTCATGCATAAGAGAAGCTGAAAACTGTAAGATATTTTTGAGTTTGATTTAAATGAAATAAGCTTCCTCTCATTTTATTTTTCACAAACATTAGCTGGGACACATCATATATTACAAGACAGAGCATTCAGGGCCCAACTAGTAGTGAAGAGCAGTGCCAATGCAGCAGTGAACGCCTATCTGCTCACTAATTACCTGCACACTTCTTACAGATGACAACACAGAGATTGATGGATGCCCAGTCAGGATCTGGGGCTTTACAATCTGCACAGCTCCTGTTGGACTCGTTGAACCAAATCTTCTCAGCGACTTCATAATCAGAGAGAGTTTCTGCTATTGATTGCTGCACAGCTTCAATCCACTCCTGCTTCTCTTTTTCAGACTCGGCTGTGAAGCTGAAACAATGAGCATTTCTGTATCACTGATCTTCTTTGTAAAGGCCAATTAAGCAGTATGTTTAAGTTTGCATATTCATTTTACTCACAAATTAAACAGCAGCTGAAAAATATGCCTGTTGAACAGACCTGGATTGTATTTTCTGTTAAAAATTACCTAATTTAACAATCTTTTTCCTCTTTACTTTTCCCCATTGCTATATAACTTTGTTTACACAGTTTGAACCAAATATCAAGACAGGTTTTTCTTCCTAGCGTATTAAAATTGTCTTGGTAGATTCAAAAGACCATATATGACATGTTCTTTCTTAAGTACCAGTTACATGATAATCAATACAGCCTGGCAGAGTTTCCAGACTTCTGGAATATTTTGCCCAGTAAGTATACCATGATAGCCTAAAACAAAGTTACTAAAAAACACCCACTAGAACTGGTGATTTTTTTTTGTACTTAAAAATAGATGCTATTGTTTTTTTTAATTAGAAGAATATCCAGATGGCTTTCAGAAACTGAGAAATCAAAAAAGTTTTAAATGGTTACCATTCTAGCAGATTTCTAACTCATATTTATTTAGGCGTGTTCTAATTTATCCTAATTCTTAATATTTTTACTGGGTGCGTGAGAGAAGGAAGAAAGTATTAAACTTTAGTTCACTCATTAGGGAAATATCTATGGAGTCCTGATGTGGCACTACAAGATAAACACTGGACCACAGGTCAGTTTGAAGTGCAAGGTTAGTGGTTCAAACCCAGCAGTACTCCTCATCAGCCCAATACAAGATCACTGAGTTGAAACTGACTGGATGGCAATAAACTACAACCTACAATATGCCATGTGATGAGCTACAGTGCTATGCACCAGGCCAAGGGCTCATAGAATGATATTTTCTAATATAAAGGAAAGAGTCCTGGTGTGGCACTGCAGGATAACACACTGGACCACAGTGTCGGATTGAACCTCAAGGCTGGTCAATTCAAACCCACGAGAGGCTCGTCGGAAACTCTACACAATAGTAGGAACCAACGCAGGGAACTTAACAAAAACAATATAAAGGAATTACATTCCTTGCATTGGAGCACGGTGTACTTGTACGGTGACTCCACGCGATAAACATTGAACTGTGAGTCACAAGGTCTGTGGCTTGAACCCGCCAGCCACTCCTTGGGAGAAAGATGAGGCTTTCTGCTCCCAAAGAAAAAGCCTCAGAAACCCTATACTGGTCGCTATGAGTAGGAACATACTTGATAGCACTTACCAACAACAAAAACTTTTCTTTGCATACAAAAATAATGAAAACAACAGATGACTAACGTTTTAAAAACTACATTACAAACTTGAGTTGACTGCATGAATTATATTTTCCTTAAAGCACCCTATTATTACTACAATACTGATAAACTTCCTAGCGGTTTCCATTTCCATGTAAGGAAAGACTGATCATAAGCAATATCTACATTTTGAGTAAACACAAGAGTCAGTTATTGTTGTTAGGTGTCAGCAAGTCAATTTGAACTCATACTGACCCTCTGTATGAAAGAGCAAAACATTACCTGGTCCTGCACAATTCTCCCAATCCTTGATGTTGTTGTTGTTAGGTTCTAACTCATAGCAACCCTACGCACAACGGAATGAAACAATACCAGGTCCTGGGCCAACCTCACAATTGTTGCCATGCTTGAGCCCACTGATGCTGTCACTTTGCCAATCCATCTCACTGGGGGGTCTTCCTCTTTTTCTCTGGCCATCCACCTTAGCAAACATGATAGCCCTCTCCAGTAATTGGTCCATCCTGACAATATGTCCGAAGTATGAGAGATGAAATTTGGCCATGCTGGCCTCCAAGGAGCACTCTGGCTGCACTTCTTCCAACACAGATCTGTTTGTTCTTTTGGCAGCCCATGGCACTTTCAATAT